TTTGTATGAACTGTGCTAGACAATTAAACTTGCCTTGCCATGAAGGACGCAGATACGCAGTTGAATAACGTTTATTCAAGCTCCTGAGCTATTACCCGATACACTGCATCTTTCCCTTTAGATAAATAAATAAAACAAACTAAACTAACATCGCTCATCAGTTGTAAAATAAACTTTAGTATGTAATTTCTTTTTTTTCCAACACAATTTATTGAACATTTTTATATTTAACATTTTACAAAATGTCATTCCTGAACAGTTGGATGACAGAAACACCCACCAACCCACCCCCCACAATCCCCAAGCTGAGCGCAATTGTGTTGCTCTTACAATTTTGTTATTACTGTACGTATCAATACTTCACAAAAAGAAAAGGTGAATAAATAAAAATAAAAATAAAAAGGGAATCCAATGTCAAAGTGCAAGTTTGCTTTTCAGTCGACAGAAAAAGAAGTAATTTCCTTAAAATATTGAAGCACGGGGTTCCAGTTTTTATAAAAATTTTCTGTACTGCCCCTCAACGAGAATTTGATTTTTTCTAACTTTAAGAAGGACATCGTGTCCCGTAACCAGGATGTCGCAGAGGGCGGTACCGGGTTTTTCCACAAAAGTAATATTTTGCGTCGGGCTATGAGTGAAGTAAATGAGACAATATTTTTTTGCTTTGATGACAATTTTATCCCTGGTTTAGGTATACCAAATATTGCAATGAGAGGGCACGGTTCAAGGTCATGTCCCAATATGTCTGAAATTGTTCTAAAATATGATTTCCAGTAGTTTTGTAGCCCAGGACAAGACCAAAACATATGTGTATGATTACAGGGAGTTTGAGAGCATCTATCACATATGTCTGAAGCGCTTGGGTATATCTTTGCTAGTCTGGATTTGCTATAGTGCGCCCTATGGGCCACTTTGAACTGTATCACTTGTAATCTTACACAAGATGAGCAGGACTTTATTTCCCCGAGCGCAGCAAACCACCACTCTTCATTCAAGGAAAAACCTAGTTCTGTCTCCCAGTCGGTCTTAATCTTGGCCAAGGCAGGTGGTGAGTCTGGGATAAGTAAATTGTATAAAAAGGAGATATGACGTTTGGATTTTTTAACAAGAGGACGGAGAAGATCAATTCCAGATTGGGGAGGCAAAACCGGGAATGAAGGGGTATTAGATTTGAGGAAATTACGGATTTGAAAATATCTGAATAGGTCAGCTGCCTGAAGGTTAAATTTAGAACGAAGAACTTCAAAACTGGAAAAAGTTCCATCTGTGTAAAAATCTCCAATTGTTCGTAAACCTTGCCTTACCCAGACAGAAAATCGAGTGTCCATCTGAGCAGGTTTAAATAAGATGTTCCGAACAGGAGTACTGAGAGGCAGTGTTTCCCAATTACAATTGTGTTTGATTTGCTGCCAAATTTTTAATGTAACTGATACAATTGGGTTGTCTGTATACTGTTTGAGTTTTAATTTTCCAGGATAACATAATAGAGCTACCAAAGAATGTTGACAGGATTCACGCTCTAACTGACACCATACTGTTTCAGGATAAAAAGCCCAATATAAAATTTTATGCATATTGCATGCCCAGTAATAGTGTTGCAAGTCAGGTAGTCCTAGACCACCATCCACTCTAGCCCTTTGTAATAATGATTTTTGAAGCCTAGGAGGTTTGTTGCTCCATATGTATGACGAAATTAGGCCATTGATATTGGTAAAAAATGATTTGGGTAGATATAAAGGGAGGCACTGAAACAAATATAGGAAACGGGGGACAATGTTCATCTTTACGCTTTGTATCCTTCCAGCCAAAGTAAGTTGGAGTTTGTCCCACTTTAAAAGGTCCTCCTTTACTTTGCTAAGGAGAACAGCGAAGTTGTCATCAAAAAGACTCTTCATGGTTTGTGAAATGTTAATGCCCAGGTACTTAAATTTGGTTGTGGAAAAGGTAAATGGTATGCTAGAAGGAGAAATATTTTTCGCTGATTGATTGATGGGAAAAAAGTCACTTTTTTCTATGTTAAGTTTATATCCTGAGAAGCTTCCAAAACTTTTAAGTGTATCCAAAACATGAGGTATAGCATTGACCGGGTCAGAAATATATAGTAAAAGGTCGTCCGCATATAACGAGACCTTGTGTTCAACACCACCCCTCCTTATGCCTTGAACAGAACAGTCTCCCTTCAGCGTTACAGAGAGTGGTTCAATTGCCAAGGCGAAAAGGAGGGGGGACAATGGACAACCCTGCCGTGTTCCTCGTGTTAGAGGAAAAAAAGAGGATCTCAAAGAGTTAGTGCAGACACAGGCCTGTGGTGAAGTGTAGAGCAGCCGAATCCAAGAGGTGAAGTGGTCGCTGAAACCAAATTTTTTCAGCGTTAAAAATAGGTAAGGCCACTCCACACGATCAAAGGCCTTTTCGGCATCCAAAGAAACCACCGCCTCTGCAATTTGTAATGGGGATGGAGAAAATGCAATATTGAGAAGACGGCGAACATTAGTAAAAGAGTGTCGGTTCCTTATGAAACCTGTTTGGTCTTCTGAGATTATATTGTGTATAACTAATTCTAGTCGGCAAGCGAAGATTTTTGCTAATATTTTTACATCAACATTTAAAAGTGAAATGGGTCTGTAAGATGAGCAGTTGTCAGGGTCTTTGCCTTGTTTGTGTATTAATGAAATGGTGGCCTGTCTGAGAGAGGGCGGTAGAATTCCCTGCCGAAAAGAGTCGTTATACATATTAAGCAACAAAGGGGCTAATTTTGTGGAGAATTGTTTATAAAATTCAACCAAAAAGCCGTCAGGCCCTGGTGACTTTCCGCTGTTCATTGATTTGATGGCCCTGCAAATCTCGTTTAGTGTAATTGGGGAGTCTAAAGAAGCACTCTCCTCAACAGTCAGCTTGGTCATGTCTATATTGTCAAAAAAGCGTAACATTGATGAGTCGTCAGCTAGACAGTCTGATTTATATAGGCGAGAGTAAAAATTCATGAACGTATTATTTATTTCATGGGGATCCAACGTTATTTGGTTAGCTGCATTTCTAATTTGAACAATCATCTGAGCAGCTCTTCTGCCTTTCAGATAATTTGCCAGCAAACGACCAGCTTTTTCCCCATGTTCATATATCATACCTCGGGCTGCATGTAACATTTTCTCTGCCTCAGAAGTCGAGATCAAATCAAACTCTGTTTGTGCTTCAAGTTTCTGTTTGTTCAGTTCGTTAGTTGGTGATAAAGCATTTTGGTTATCTATGTCAGAAATTAATTGCATCAACTCTTGCTTACGCCTATTAATGGTTCTCCTTGAATGGGCAGAGTACGAGATGATCTCGCCCCTAAGGACAGCCTTTAAAGCCTCCCAGAGTAAACTTGAATTTGTATTGTTAACCTGATTAGTCTCGAGGTAAGTGTCTATAGTCTGATTTATATGTGCAATAAAATTGTCATCTGATAAGAGTACAGGGTCGAGCCTCCAGGAACGAAAGTCTCTAGGGCTAGAGATAAATTGTAATTCTAGTGTTAAAGGCGAATGATCCGAGATTACCCTTGCCTGGTATTCAGTTGTTGTAACTAAGGGCAGTAGAGCTTTATCGATTACAAAGTTATCAATACGCGAGTGTGTTTTGTGTACATGGGAATAGAACGAGAACTGTTTGTCAACTGGATGTAGGTGCCGCCATATATCAACAAGACCATACTGGGACATGAGTTGCAAAAGAGCCTGTGCCATCTTTGGTGGCGTGGGATCCTTAGGGCTGGATTTATCTAGAGTTGGGTTTAGAACAGTATTCATATCTCCTCCCAATATCAAATGGTGAGAATGTAATTTTGGTATTGAAGAAACTAGTCTTTTTATAAAGTCTTCGTCATCATAATTAGGTGCATACACACTCACAAGTACAACTGGTTGTTGGCAAAGAGTACCCACTACAATCACATATCTGCCATTATTGTCAATCACAGTCTCTGACATATTAAAAGGAACATTTTTCCTGATCAATATAGCTGCTCCTCTTGTTTTATTGTTAAATCGAGAATGAAAGATATGACTGATCCAAGACTGGTTTAGCCGTTTCTGATCTATATTACGCAAGTGTGTTTCTTGGAGAAATATCAAATCTCCTTTTAGATCCTTAATATGAGAGAGAACTCTGGTCCTTTTAGTGGCACCATTAATGCCCCCTACATTCCAAGATAATATTCGGACAATGCGTCCATTGCACTTAATTGTACTGTTACTTGCCATAAGCTATTAATTGAGGAACAAATAGATAATATGAATAAGAATACAAAAATCTGTTTGGATTCCCATGTAAGTGAAGTACAGGTAAAATAGAACAAAACAAAACAGTGTGACAACAGTGTTGGAGAACAAAATAAAACAAGATGCACTCAGCCCTCCCCTTACTTCCACCCCCCCAAACGGAGTGAACAGGGTAATAAATCGCTCCAAGGGCCTCCCGGGAGGCCACTCTAAACATTCTAATCTCTACTCAAAGAGTCCCCAGAGCAAATCAAGTAAATAATAATAAAAATAAAACTCCAGCTACAATTGTTAAATAATAGCAGCAATAGTCATGTTAGCTCAGGCAAATCAACTTGACAAAGAACCCACTCTGCTGACCACTCCCCCAGTCACCAGGCAACCCACCCCACACTCTAAATATTAGGTAACTTTAAAATACAGGAGAAAAAACTAGAAAACAGAAAAAAAAAGAGTACCTATATATCAATTTGTTTTCATCCGACAGTCTCAAGTACTCATCCATGCTCCCTTGGCGCCCTCTAGCGGTAGCCTTCAACAACGCAGGGTTAGCATTAAAAGGTTATCTTAAAAAAAAAAAAAAAAAAAAAAAAAAAAAAGGCAGAAAAACAATGACGGTGGGGCACCTGGACGTAGCAGATCTGTTTATGCACGAAATGGGAGCACTAAACATCCTGCATGAATGGACACTATACAGGGTGAGTTCCCAAGTACCTGAGGGTATCCCAGCAGACCTTATGTTTAAGCATCCCCGGATAGATGTTGCTTGTAGAAATCTTCGGCAGCAGCTACAGATTCAAATTTGTAATCCATTTGCTCGTACGTAACACAGAGGACAGCGGGATAGCGGAGAAAGAACTTGACTCCCCTTTGGTAAAGCTTGGACTTGACTGGATTGAAAGCTGCCCGCTTCTTGGTAAGCTCAGCGCTGAGATCTGGGAAGATAAAAATCTTGTCACCGTTGTAAAGCAGCTGCCCCTTTTTCCGTGCAATGGCAAGAACCCGCTCCTTCTCCTGGAAGCGCAGGAAGCGGACAAGCATTGGCCTTGGCTTTTCGTTGTCTGCGGGTTTTGCTCTCAAAGCCCTGTGCGCCCTGTCCAGCTCAGGCGGTCTGGTAAATGACGGGTCTTGTAGGACCTCCACAAAGAACTGGGACATGAAAGCTGTGGCATCGCGACCTTCGGAATTCTCTGGTAAGCCAATAATGCGTAAATTATTTCGACGCGAGCGGTTTTCGAGGTCCTCTGTCTTTGCCTGTAGTTCGCTCTTTTCCTTCTCCAAAATGCCCACACGCCTTTCGAGGTGATCAAGCCTGTCGCTGTGGTCAGACAGGCCCGCTTCCATGTCAGTCAGACGTGGCTCGTAAGCGTCTAGCTTTTTGCTAACATCATCCAGAGTGGCATTGAGGGGGAAAAGCGAAGCATTGATTTCCTTGAGAATGGCTGATCGGTTCCTCTCCAGTTCAGCCTGTAGCATGGACATAGGCACAGAGAGCTCAGCGGCGGCGGCTAGTTCTTGTTCGTTAGCATTAGCTTGTTTGTTCGTGTCACCCTTTGCTCTCGGTGGTTGCTTCGGCTTGCCTGACATTTTTGTTGATATTCTTCTTTCAGCAACGCTTGCTGCTTACTTTTGAATCAGTTTACTGTGATTTGTAGCTGTTGTATTGAATAAATATCAAAATCCTGCTCTGGGCTCTCTCGGCGTGTCTTCTCTAGTCCGCCATGACACCGGCCTCCTTTAGTATGTAATTTCTTCAAGTAAATTAAAATACTCATTCATTTCAAAAAGTTATCATCATTATATTACATACTACCAAATACTAATACTTCTTTCAGACACAATTCTGGTTATGAATCACAAAAGAGGACACATTTGATATTGTTGCCTCACCTTTGAAAACATAATTGCAGAAGAATGCACTGGAGATGGGAGTAATTCGGGCGTTCTGCTCTCCCAAAATTCCATCCACTGAGCGGCGCTGTGATCAAAAAATGACACCGTTTGTTGCCCAGTTCACTTCCGGTTGATTTCATACAATGGCGAATATGGCTCACGAAAACAACAAACGATTGACAGTGCCTGAATTGCGTGAAAGGTTGAAGCGAAAGGGTATTTGCAGTGTGGGAAAACGAAAGGAGGAATTGTTGTTGCTAGTTCAACGAGCGGATGGTGTTTATGAAGATTTAGAAGAAGATGACAGCGAGCAGAGTGAACGAAAACGGCTGTGTGTGCGAGTGACAGATGGTAACAATGAGAATGAAGTTCAGCTAAGAGGGAAGAATGTGAATTGGACGGATGATTTGCGCGATATGCCACTAGTTAGAGACGGGAATGTATTTGCATACAGAAAATGACGAAAACACTCAACCATTTAGAGAAAATGCGCCGGGCAGAGAGAACCGGAAGTTGCGAAGGCAAGTGTTACCCATAATGCAACGCAAAATTCAGTCGCTCCCCCGCCCATCGGATGGAACTTTAGGAGAGCAGAACGCCCGAATTGGACATAATTAACTTGACTCCGATCCACTGCTGGACATGAGCCAGGGGACCAGCAGATGCAAACCATTTCCATGTGCTTGAACTGTGAACGTGTCTTTTTGTGGCTGTGACCTCATATTGTAAGCTCGTAAATACATCATGCAAGTGTGTTAGGCTCGTTAATTCAAATCAAATCAAATCAAATTTTATTTATGAAGCGCTTTTCATACAAAAGATGCAACACAAAGTGCTTTACAGTTTGGTTAAAAACAATCCCGCCGGCCCATGTCCCCTCCCCCCGACCACCCAACAGACCCATCCCAAACCACAGACAAACACACACACGCTCCCATGCATACTCTCTGACACACACACACACACACACACACACACACACACACACACACACACACACACACACACACACACACACACACACACACACACACACACACACACACACACACACAAGTAAAACAGTAAAACAATGATGAGAGACTTGGCAGGGTTCGGATGCAACCAGTTGAAAAAGCGTCATCCTAGGAGCCGTCTGCACCAGGAGCAGAGAGCCGCCTGTAGCCACAGGGGACGACACAGGATCTAGAGGAGACCCGAAACCGAGGCCCCAGGCCCCCACCAGGTCCAAGAGTCCGACCCCCGCAGCCATGCCGACCACCGCTCCCAGTGCAGAGGGCTCCTCCAGAGGAAACACTGGGTATACTAAAAACAATACAATAACAATATAATATGTAAAACACAAAAATGTGAAACTAAAATGAAACTAAAATGAACTAACACACAATACATGAATAAAAGCAATAGCAATACAATAAATAATAGAAGATAAATAGAAATATATAAAATGAAATAGTAAAAACTAATCAAAAGCTAATCTAAAAAGGTGTGTCTTGAGCCTGCTTTTAAAAATATGAACGTTCTCTGCGGCCCTGAGCTCCTCCGGCAGACTGTTCCAGAGACGGGGGCCGTAGTGCTGGAAAGATGCCTCACCGTGAGTGTGTGTCCTGACTTTGGGGATGGTTAGAAGTCTGCTGCCGGAGGAGCGCAGGGGCCCGGAAGGCTCATAGGATAAAAGCAAATCTGAAAGATAAGAAGGCCCAAGACCATTAAGACATTTAAAAACCATTAAAAGAACCTTAAAATCGATCCTGAAACACACGGGGAGCCAATGCAGCGATTTCAAAACCGGTGTAATGTGGTCCCGCCCCCTGGTTTTAGTCAGGACACGTGCGGCCGAGTTTCGGAGTAATTGTAAACCTGAAATGTTCTTTTTGGGAAGACCAGAGAGCAGGGCATTACAGTAGTCAATGCGACTGGTTATAAAAGCATGCATCAGCGTCTCCGTGTTGCCCCGAGAGAGAATGGGGCGGACTCTGGCGATGTTCTTTAGATGATAAAAACCTATTTTTGTGATGTTCTTGATGTGAGGAATAAAAGTCAGCTCAGAGTCAAAGATTACGCCCAGGTTTCTCACTTGTGATGATGGATTAAAAGAGTGTGATTGGAGTTTTGATAAAAGTTTCTCTCTCTGGGCCTCAGGACCGATGACTAAAACCTCAGTTTTGTCCTGGTTGAGCTGGAGAAAGTTTTCTGCCATCCAGGATTTCAGGTCTAAAATGCAGTTAAAAAGAGCATCCATTGGCCTGGTGTCGTCAGGAGACATGGAGATGTACAGCTGTGTATCATCTGCATAGCTGTGGAAGTTAATTCCATGTCTCCTGACGACACCGCCAAGAGGGAGCATGTACAGGTTAAAAAGGACTGGACCTAAAATGGAACCCTGGGGCACACCACATGTGATTTTATGGACCTGAGAGGAGCAGGTATCCAAACTTACCATGAAGGATCTGTCTGTTAAATAAGAAGTGAACCATTTGTGGACAGCACCAGAGAGGCCGAGGTGTTTCAGGCGGGATAAAAGAATGGTGTGGTCTACTGTGTCGAAGGCAGCGCTTAGATCCAGTAGAACCAACACGGTCACCTTTTTAGAATCATAACTTAGTCTAAAATCATTTAAAATCTTTAAAAGAGCAGTCTCTGTGCTGTGGTTCACCCTAAAACCTGATTGAAATTTCTCTAAAATTTGTTGCTGATCTAAGAAGGCATTGAGCTGGGTAAAAACAAGTTTTTCTAAAATTTTGCTTAAAAATGGCAGGTTGGATACCGGTCTGTAGTTGTTAAAATCATTAAAATCTAAATTGCTCTTCTTCAGAAGGGGTCTCACCACAGCCGCTTTGAAGGCTGCAGGAAAGACCCCAGTCTGCAGAGAGCAATTCATCAGGTTTGAAAGCTCCTCTCTAAAAGATTCATAAAATGACTTAAAAAATGGAGTGGGGACTGGATCTAAAAGACATGTGGTGGGCCTCACTGAGGAGAAAACTTTATCAAGCATCTCAGCATCAACCAGGACAAAACTGTCCAGTGTTTCCTCTGGCGAAGACAAACAATCAGATGTGTTAAAAACAGTTGTGCGGTTGGATAAAATGTTACATCTGATTGTGTTTATCTTCCCCGTGAAGTGGACTGCAAAATCCTCACAGAGGGAGTCTGTGGGGGTTAAAAGAGACATGCTAAAATCAGGGTTTAAAATGGTGTCGATGGTTGAAAATAGGACCTTTGGGTTATTTTTATTTTGGGTGATTAGCTTTGCAAAGTATTTGTTCTTATGATTTCTAATTGTGTTATTGTATGCTTTTTGATTGCTTTTATATAGTTCATAGTTGATTGTTATTTTATCTTTCCTCCACCTTCGTTCTGCCACCCTGCACTCTCGTTTCATTTTTCGTACTTCCTCATTTCTCCATGATGTACAGATTTTGTTTTTATGATTTTTGTTTTTAAAGGAGCGACTTGATCCAATGCGGAACTAAGTCTACTGTTAAAATCATTTGCTATAAAATCACAGGGGGCAGGTAAAACCAAGTGGGGAGTGTTGTTTAGGATGTCGATAAAATTTGCAGCCACTTCAGGGGTTAGATGTCGCTTCCTCACGGTTCTCACAGAGGTCTCACGCTGAATAAAACCAGTGATGTAAAAAACACACAGTAGTGGTCCGAGACAGCCAAGTCGACAACAGAGGACACATCCGCAGTCAGGCCATAGGTAATGACCAGGTCGAGGGTGCGTCCCCTGTTGTGTGTTGGCTGTCTGACGTGTTGGGTAAAATCCATGTAATTAAGAACATCTAAGAAATCTAGGGTAAAATTGTCAGAGGGATTGTCAATGTGTATGTTAAAATCACCGGTTAAAATTATCATGTTGTAAGAATTGTGTAACTGTGATAAAAACGCTGAGAATTCATGAATAAAAAGGCTGCACTTTTTAGGTGGCCTATAAATAATTACTGTTAAAATTTTGGGGTTGCTAAAAACAAGAGAGTGATACTCAAAACTTGAGTATTGGTTAAAAACAATAGGTTTGGTGGCCAGGGCGTTACTGCATATTGAGGCTGTGCCGCCACCTCTCTTTCGCCTTTCTATTTCTGTATCAGCCGACTGATTATTTTTCTGGGGTTACGGGGAGTAATCGGGGTTTGGGGGGGTGGTTGAATACACGTCCAAACCAATACAAACAGTAGCTCAGTTGGTAGAGCATTGGCCTTAAGGCCAGAAGGTCATTGGTTCAATTCCCACCTCTGCACCTTCTCCACCGACTCCCACTGA